TTCATATTTTGAAAAAGATCAGAAAATGAATTTCAAGTAGCTCTAAACTAGAGAAATAAAGCCTGTGCAAAGTAGTGTCAAACGAAGGGCAAATTAAAAAGCAAACAATGGATCTTACTTTTTCTCCTAATTAAAATTTTAAAAAGTAATTAAATTCAGACAAATGATGTTTATGCTGCAGTAAGTACAAACTTGGACCAGTGGCTAAAGGAAGCCTTTATAAAGCCCTATTATCACCCAAATCCTACATTAAGGATAAAAGCAGTTCATTCTCATATTTTTAGACTTCTGCCTAAGGCATATTTCGCACAAAACCCATATAGTTTCCTTTAAAATCTGTATTTGATTACTAAATAGTTTTGCTTGGAAACTGCACTTTTACCCTTAAAGTGCAGAGACAAAGCTTTTAACACAGTGATAAATGTTGTCCTGTATTTCATACAGTGCTGCAGATAAGAAAAAGGTAAAGGTTTTGGCTTTTAAAAGAGGGTGTGTAACCAGAACTATAATTTGCATTTGCAAATCCTCATGATTTTTACTGTTTCAATTAAGCCCAACAGCTTGTTTTAGTCGTCGGGGAGTGGTAGAGCTGAACAGAGATGTAGCAGGTATTGCAACTGAATTACAGCAGGTAGAAGCCACCCTTAAGGGAGACACTCAGCAGGGAGGACCACTCACTGCACGAAACTGTCAGAAAAATCTCATAGGAAACAGGCAAGTCTGGAAACACCAGTGCTAGTTGGACAAGAAATACATGACAAGTTATATGAGTATCCACAAGAGATGCGTGTAAAATTTGTCACTATGTATACGGTATATACAGGTATATTTTGAATAAGGGGATTGTAATTCCTTAGCTCTCATGTAACTAGAACTTTGCTTTTGTGGTTATGTCATCTGAAATTCTGAAGCATTAGATCCCTTTTATGTACCCTTGCCTCTTACTTAAAGTGTATAAACCCTTTTTACAAAGTTTATCTTGCTGTTTTTTAGGCATTCTTAGACATTTCATTTTTGCATATGAAGAGCTAAAACCTCTGCGTGGCTGTGGGTCAAAGGAAGATTCAGTTTTACAGTGCAAAGTGTAACCTGACCTTTAACACCTTCCCCAAAAGCAAAGGCTGAGTGTCAGGCCCACAGACACCCAGGGCAGTGGGGAGAACAGATCCTGATGGGACTACCGCAAAAGATGCGCATGCAATTGCCTGCCTCGATGCATCCTCTCCAATGCCGTGGGTCCTCTCTGGGCTGGGGACTTTGTAGGCAGGCAGAGGAGGAGAAAGGTGGCTGCTAGGCCTGCAGCTGGTGTAGCAACTACTCCAGAGGGTTTTTTTCGGGGACGCCGCTGGGAAATATCGGAACATCCCCTGAGGTCCCCAAGGGATTTTGCACACTAGGCTACTTGCTGCACACTGGAATTAGAATTTATTATACTTTTTGTAAAAATAATAGTTTTTTAATCACACATAATCCACTGCAGAAGTGACACATACTTAAATGCGGAAAGCAATTGAAGGCCTGGAGACAACCTAAAGTTAAAAAATGTCCATTTTTCAGAAGTATGTTTTAGAAGGAAACAAACCTTCCCTCAACTCATCATTTAAGTGATTTATTTAGTCTTCATGTAGACTAGAATTTTAGACAGTATCTAATCTATCTGCTTATAGAGAAAGTTGTCATTCATTCACCACCTGACAGAGCGAGCTGCCCTGGGGGTTAACTACAGGTTCTGGTACTGTCTCAGGGAAGGGAGCAGCAGTCTATATTATTTCAGTTTTCATAGTCCTTGGCTCTGTGTTGGCAAAGCTGTTTTAAATTCACTGCTAGGAGTCTGCCCAGCCATGCGAGTGACTATGTTGACGCTTAGTGCAGTGCAGTCTCTGGTATCTTGCAGCAGTGAGTTCCACAGGTTGTTACCGCTTACTGTTTGGAAAAGTATTTTTTATTATTATATTTACGACTTCTCCATTTCAGTAGAGGCCTGTTTTCTTCTCAGATGAAGTAGGGTGAATAGTTCCTGATCTACGTGTTCTTCCTGCCATTTATTATTTTGTATACTTTGATCATGCTCGTTCTTATTCACTTTTTTCTGTAAACATTCCCGATCCTTTCGATCTCTTTATCATTTTTACCGCACAGCTCTTTCTGATGTATCTGTCTTAGATGGGCTAACCAGAAATGAACAAAGTACTCCAGATGAGGCCGAATTATTGATGCACATAACAGGTAAAAACCTGGCCCCATTGAAGCTGCAGTGAATTCACTTAACATCTAAGGACTGAGGTTTCTCCCACTGCTGTCACATTTGCTACATTATTCTTCCTCCCATTTTTCATATATTCAACTTCAAAATTTGGCAGCTGAGACTTTAATCTAGAATCGTGCTGATTTGGTATCCTCCATTAAATTGCTGTTAGTCCTCAGATGAGCAGTGTAGCTCTGTGGGCCGGATTAGTTCCGTCCCCAAAATATCTTCATGAAAAGGGGCAAATTTTGTCCTGCTTCTCATTTGTTACGGAACAACTCTTGATTTTAGTTTTGAACAGCTGAAACTGAGGGCAGCAGCCCAGACTTTGAAACACTGCTGTTGTTCACGGTGACCTTTAGCTGCAAAATCTGCTAAAATTCATTATTTAGTATATGAAAGCAAACAGACAAAATTTTTGCCTCATTAAGTGATTGTCCATAATGCAATATGAATGTCAAGACAAACAAGTCGGAGTGTTTTTACAGCATCTGCAAGAGAAATCTGTTAACTTCTGTTTCCTCCCCAGAAACATCTAAGAAATGTTCAGATTGTTGCTGGCTAATAAATACAGTAAATGAAATGTTAATAAATCACCAGCAATTTAGCCTGACAATAACATGGATTGACCATATTGATTAAATTGATTATGTTTCATATATTTACAATATGTAGACACAAGCCTAATTTATTTTCTGAAGGGTTCAAGGTAGGTATCACTTTTTTTTGTTTGTTTGTTTGTTTTAAAAAAAGGCAAAACAAAACAATGGAGTAACGTTTGTGGTTGCTATCTGCAATAATCTAATGCTGACAGAGAGCAGTATTTTATTTAGTAATTAACAGTGTAAAGGGGAGAGAAGCTGTCATGTTGGTTCTTAAGCTGGGGAATGTGATGAAAGATGATATCTGCGATCTCATCCTTTCCACTTGTTTAGGATTGTCAGGATGAGAAATGTCAGCATTATGAAAGCTCAGCTCTGCTCTTGATATGATAAAACCCTTCAAAAGCCAGTCTTTCTCTCCTTCTCCCCCCTCCTTTCTCCCGCTCCCTCTCGCACTTGCTTTTTTATTTATCCTGTTTTGTTAGATGGCAGAAATATAATTCTTTTCTTTCTTCCTATTATAAGCCACCATTTTTGTTTTATTATATGTTTCACAACCCCTAATGCCCACTGAAAATTACCTTGTTAAATGACAGTGTTTCAAAGCCATGAATCCTTTCCACCATTCCCTCAGAGGTTTGAAACAGTCAACAGACTGTAAAGAATAAATAATAAAAAAGTATTGATTATTTTGATGACTGTGAGATTCAATTAAGTATTAATTTTGCCCTCCAGTGGACCTATCAAGGTATTCAAAAGGGAGGATTCGGCTCAGCTAAATGCGTGCTGAGTGCTTCAGCCTTAAATAGGGAGAAAATGTGTTTACATACAGTATTTGAAGAGGAGTGCATTGATGCACAGAGTCCAATATTTAAGTGCTGTGCAAATTAAGCCCTGGTGACAGTGACATTGTTTTCAGCGATATGAGTATTGACTAAAGAAGTGCATTTGATGACAGCTTAAACTATTTGTATTGATTAACATTTTCATAGATTATCATGTGTCATATCAAATTCACTTTTCAGACATGAATACATTAAAAAACCCATAGGCAAACATCGACCAATGTGAGGACGGGACAGAGGGAACATGCTAACCAACCTACTTGCTCGCTGGTCACCTGTTCTCTGCATAAGAACCATTTAGGCATGAACTTTGCAATAAATAGCTGCCAGAGAGCGCAACAAGGTCACTTGTTCCTCTCCTTTTTTTTTTAGTTTTTTTTACTCTGATTTCCGTGTTGTCATGATATTATGCCTATTAATTTGCAAACGGAATAATAGAGTGTGCTTGGAAATAATGCCTGACCCCCAAATGTCCTCAATGAGCAGAAGATAAAACAGATCCAAATCATGAAGAAAACATTTAAATGTGTGTATTTATATGTGTAAAGTTTTACGGGGAATATAATGTCGCAAACACAAGAATAATTGCAAACTGTGTGTGTAAGTATCTTCACTAATTTTATCTTTTAAAAAATGGCTTCTGTGGTTTTTATTTTCAAAAGAAAAATGTGTGTTTGTGTGTGTTTATGGACTTTTGGAGCATAATATCCCAAAGACAGGAATGTTAGAAGAAATCTGTATCTCTGTTGAATATACGTAATGAAATGGCTATTTGCTGCTGTGTATTTTCATAGAAATGCTAGAATGCTAGAAACTGTGTATTTGATTTTGTTAATGTTGTACAGCTGAGGATGCCTCTTTAAATCGCTATGGAGCGCTCACAGGGCGCTCCTCTTTCGTGGCGTTGGAGCATACAGGAATTTCTTTTCTTACTACGTTAAGGACAGCGTGAGGTGTAAAAACATACACACACAAAAAAGCACATCCCACAATTAAAGCTGTGTTGGTTATGTTGCTTTCATAGAAGTTTTTCTCCAAAGCATCCTGAATCTCTCACATGCTAGTTGAGCTTTAATAGGGTGGGGAGTAATGGAAAACTCATTGGATCTGTAATAGCTCTTCACTTGACTGCAGCCAGCAATAACAGCAGGAGCAGCCAGAGATAAGAGAGAGAGAGAGAGAGAGAGTGTGTGTGTGTATGTGTGTGTGTCTGTGAGAGAGGGAGTGGAAGACAGAGTATACGCACACCAAAGCTGCCACTTTTTTTTTTTCCCCTCACTCTTTTTTTCCCCCCCATCCTAGGATCCAATGATAGCTGGACAAGTCAGTAAGCCCTTGCTGTCACTGCGGAGTGAAATGAATGCAGAGTTGAGAGGTGAGGACAAGGCAGCTACTTCAGACAACGAGCTGAATGAGCCCCTGCTTGCGCCTGTGGAATCAAATGACAGCGAGGACACTCCCAGCAAGCTCTTCGGTAAGTCTGTCTAGGTATTTCATTTCACTGCTACCATGTTGTCCGGAAGAGCAATCTCCCCCCGTTCTTTACGCGTCTTTTAGAAAACTTTGCTCATTAACATGGGTGCCGCTGGAACTAGTTGCTCGTACCAGACAGCCTCTTTGGAGCTTGCTTGCAGTGAATAAGCGAGGTGAACCTCCCAAATGGAGCGGCTTGGGTTTTTTGGGGGGGGTTTTTTTTTTTTTTTTTTGTTTGCTGGATTTTCTTGTAAGTATGAAGGAGTAGCTTGGAGCGTGCAGGCGTAAAGCCCTCTGCTCCCATTGCAACTGGTTACCAGAATGACAGTGTCAGTCCTCAAAACTTCTGTCAACAACGAACTTATTTTATGCAAGTTGCAGACATTTTATGTTTTCTTTTTATCCGTGGCCTCTAATGTAAAAAAAAAAATAGAGGGGGGGTCATTTTCTTGGAGTAGTTTGTTAACATTTATTGCGTTAGGTGCTGATGTGTCTCATATGCTTTTTCTAAGGCTGGATTAAACTGAAAAGTTATCATTTTACATGGTAAAGATAAAGCTAGCTGAAGAGAGCTGAAACATTCCCATAGAAAACCCTCTGGACTGAGTAAACAAAGGCTACCAAAGGTACTGCACATGGAGCTAATGTTTTTGGAATTTAAATTAGAAATGAAATCTTGCTTCTAAAGCCTGCCAACGAGAAGTTACCTTTTGAATTTTTATTTATTTTTAAATAGTCTAAATTGTGCCAGATAAGCGTAACCTTTCACAATCAAAACAAAAGGAGCAAGAGTGGCACTCCAGTGTAGACATCTGTCATTCAAAAGGATGACACCCTGTAAGCCAACTCAAGCAACTCTGATCTCTAATCAGAAAAGGGAGCAGAGTTGTTGAGGTGCGTGCTTGAGTGATAGATGTTGATAGGTGTCTGAGCTGGAGCCGCACTATGTGGCACATAGTGACATTCTGGGTTTAGAGGGGCTGCTCTCCTGAAGGAGTTCCTTTTAATTATTTTCATTTGTGACTTGAGACAAACCATAATAGAAACGGAGCATTTCCTTATTTCACATGATCCTATAGGTGGAAGTTGAAGGGAAAAAGATCTTGTTTAAAGGGAATGCAGCTTTAAGAGAAACAGGGTGAGAGCCCGTTTTCTAAGATTCAAGTTTTGATTTCATAATCTGTAAGGAAATCTGTAGCAGTGTTCAGATTTCAGTCTTCCAGCTACACTAAGAGCTACAAGATTTTTCTTAAACAAAAGAATACATGCAATTTTCTTTTAAAATGTTCTTTACCCCTTACTAAAAGATGCAGCACAAAATGTTTTACTAAACAACTTCACTACGGATATGGGAAAATAATAATAATTAAGAAATCCTGAAATTTAATTTCTGGATTAGTGATGACTGTTACTGAATATCACATCCATTTTTAAGCACCCTCTTAGTAATCTTTGTTTCCATGGAAAGCATAATTTCCGTTAGCAGTCTGAATGTTCAAAAAGCACATAATAATTGTTTTAGTCCATTTCATCCAGGAAAGAACTGCAATGTCTAAAATTCAGAGGGCTATTAGTTACCTAGAGTAGTATGAATATCTTCAGATGTGTTTATGTATTTTATTTGCTCAAATGTTTAGGGTGCATCTATTAAATATAGTAAGGCATATACAAAACAAAAATCAGACTTTTAATTTGAGGGTAGTGAAATATTTGTTTGTCTGTTTTTAGGTCAGGCAAGTCTTGTAATAAAAGCCAGGATATTTTTTGAGTCGTCGTCATTTGGATGCTCTACAGTGATAGTGAAATACACACAGACACTTTCATTAGAGTTGCTGTGTGGGATATAGAAATGATGTGCAACAGTATCTTGTCTCCTTCTGAACTGCAAATATAATTTATGTCCCTAAAAGCGCTAATGAAAAAGCTACAAATTAATATATCGTGCTGTTTCTGTTGGTGAGTGTAAGATGTTTGCTAGCCTGATTCTTATACTGCTAAGATGTTCCCAAGTAAACATAAGTAGGTAAAATAGTTGAACTGTCTCAGTATGAACTTATGTACCATTTATTGAGGTTCTGTTGTGATGGACAGATGCTACAGTTCTTTTAGCAGGAGCACTTGTCAGTTAATTTTAGTAAATTTGAGAACATAAAAGAAAGGACAATGGGGACATTTTGATATATTTGAGGATCCAGCTGAGCAAATTTTAAATGAAGATGATTAGCCTTTGTGTCACAGATGCATCCCTTAAGATAAATTTGCAGTAAACATTTAAAATAATAAAGTGTAGTTTTGTTTAAAGCTTTAATGCATAAATATGGAGAATTATTCTGTAGCTGTTTATTTAATGCTATGAATAGCACGTTAGGAATGCATACTTAGGGCTGGAATTAAATGATTAGTGGACTTACTGACATGTGATGGCGTAGAGATTGACAGTTTTCTCCTCCAACTTGATTTCATGTGATCTGAGATAATTTTATTTTTACAATATAACATGTAATACATGCTGTGTGAAAATTTGCCCAAAATCTGTTAAGGATGAGAGGGAGGAGCGTTTTAGAAAGTCAAGGGGAGGAGACAGGTCCATAGAGAACAAAGTTTTTCTCCACTGCTGCTTTCACGTTTTTTGAAAAATTTGTGAAAATCGTGTGCTGATTTAGTTGGAACGAATGGCCAGCACTTGAGTGCCTTGTTGATGTTAGCTATATTTCACGAGTCTTATTTTCATATAGATGAAGAGAGTTGAATGATTAGATGCAAAGAGCTTTCTTCTTTCTCACTGGACACATTCTGCTTATCTTCTTTTGATGGATGGGTTTATTTCTGCATTGCTCACCTGTACCTTTTCCTAAAATCCCCCTCCTTTTTCTCAGACTTCCATGTTTTGGCATTTCACCGCATACCATAGAAACAGTGAATACTTATTTTTTGTTTTGGTAGCAGGTAGCACAATTAATCATAAAAATGGCACCTCTTCAACAACAGTCCTTGCTGCAGGTGAGGAAAGGGCAGGATTACAATTAATTATACTTCTTTTTGACTTAAGAAGATACGCAGTAAACTTGTTTCTCTTATAGGTGCTTTGCTATCAGTGACAAAGCAGGTGAACACTGCAGCTTCATGGGTCTCAGAAATACCAGCAGGAGCTGGGATAAATTGCTGACAATCTGGAATAGCTCCCACCTGAAACTGGTGCACAGGTGTCTGGGAAGATGCAGGTTGTCACTGCGGTGCAGTTGTTACCTGTGAGTGATGACAGGAGCAGCTGTGATTAGAGGGGTTGTGCTTGCTTGGTTTTTGCCTGCTTGCTTGGTCGTGGTGGTGGTGGTTGTTTTTTGGTGTTTTTTTTTTTTGTGTTGTGTTTTGGTTTTTTTTTTTTTTTTTGAAAGAAAAGGCTGTCCTGTAGTCTGGGGTTCTGCATCTGTAATCCTCCTCATGTGTATTTATCCCAGTGGACTTTTTGGCATCTGCATATGTGTGTGCAAACGACTTCTGATACTGAAATCATGTGAAACAAGAAGAGAATAAAAAACGTGGTAAAAAACATTTCCTGAAGTGCAAAATGTTGGTAAAGCACTCTATCCTGAAATAAATTAGCTCATAAGTGGAGTTTTGAAGTGTGGAGTTAGCACATCTGTAGTATTTCAGTTACAGAAATTCCAGTTTTGCTGAGCCGTATGAGGTGAAGTTTTGCTTTGCAAGAGATCTTGTGGTGTATTATTTACTCTTAAAAATATTTGTGAAGCAGTATCTCCTATCTTAATCATATGATGTAATTAAGAAACAGAGAAACTGAGTCTGGCTGTTGACATTCCTGGCGGTGTCATTTTCAGATCAACTTATCTTACTCTGCAGTATGCTTCAAAATAGTAACCCAGGCCAAATGCCACAGCTCTTACTAGAGAAGATTTTTGTTGATGCTAACTAGTAGTTTCTCTTGAATAAACACATTGGGATTTGATCCTCTGTTGATTAATCCTAGTTGCCATTTTATACAGTATCATTAAACAAGTTTAAGTTATGAAATATTGGTATGAAAAAATGTTAGTGATAAAAACCCCCTTCATGTTTAGCTCTGTAATATTATAACTGTTGAGATTCAAGAGTTGGTATAGACACCAGGGTTATGTTGTGCAGAAAATTCCCTGTACGGTAAAAATCCCAGGAACGAAGTGGCTAGTCCAAGCACCAAAAGCCCCTGTGGTCTGAGGCTGGCTTTCCTGGAGTTAGATCCAGTCCTGAAGTCATCCTTAATTTGTGACATAATTAGATGATGGTAAAAAAAAAAAAAATCTGGGAATGCACTTGCATGTTAAGGTAATTTTACTGTGTTATAGTAAGTTGCTTTTTGAGATTAAGCCTGTAGTTCTACGCATCAAACTTATTGAAATAAATAAAGCTGTAAGTATGTAGTGAGTGCAAGACCAAGCCTATAATTGTGGAGAACAAGTGTTTCCTATTTAATAATTGCAGGACAGCAAAAAAAATTGACTGCTAACCTTTTTTTTTTTCTCTGACAAGGTTTTGTTCCAGTGAAATTAAATCTTAGGTTTCCTGTGCTGGATCCAAAGACTGTGGTTTCATTTGGTTCACTACCAGTTTTTTGCTTCTTTCATAATGCTGTGTATGCTTGAAATACAGAGCAGAGATATGTGACTTAAATGAACACACGCTTTTCCATAAACAAGGGTGTATTTTCAAACCCCTGCATTGGCTATGGGATTTTGTTTTCCTTTCTCATATTGTTACCCATGTTTCAGAACTGCATGCATCTTTCTGTGTAAGCATACATGTACGTGCTGTAGCGGAGCAGGGTAGAAGTTGTTTCTAGCTGATTGTGTTTTGCTAGTAGATCCCTTGTATTGCTCTTTAAGGAAACATACATTGGCCAATTTTTTAATTTTTTTTTTTTTTTTTTAAATCGGGGTTGCCTTGATTAGAATTTGTGTCACTGGAATCATTTCAGTTGCAAAGGATAAAGGACTAAATTGTCTTTTA